CGCCTATAATCCCAGCACTATGGGAGGCCGAGGCGGGCGGATCACGAGGTCAGGAGATGGAGACCATCCTGGCCAACACAGTGAAACCCCGTCTCTACTAAAAATACAAAAAACTAGCCGGGCGAGGTGGCGGCGCCTGTAGCCCCAGCTACTCAGGAGGGTGAGGTAGGAGAATGGTGTGAACCCGGGAGGCGGAGCTTGCAGTGAGCTGAGATCCAGCCACTCACTCCAGCCTGGGTGACAGAGTGAGACTCCATGTCAAAGAAAAGAAGAAAATCATTAATAGTAAGAAATCAGTGGTTAAGAGCTGTGTCCTTAAGGGGCTCCCTTCCCTAGTGTTAGAAAAACTCTGGACCACATGACCCAGTTGGCTATGTTTTTAATGAAAAAATGGATTACAGCACATGTCACGTTCTAAGAGTAGGTATTATTTTGGTAACTTTTTGGTGTGTGTGGCCGGGCGGGGGGCGGGCACTGGTTTGTGATGTAAAATGCGCTTCTTCCTGTGCATCACGGTTAACACATTGGACAGCATCTGCTCTACCCCGTAATGACTCTGGGGAGAGATTCTGAGTCCCTGCATTTCTGAGAATTTCCCTGACATGTGAGTGACATAGACCAGGGTATGGGCTGCAGCAGCAAGAGCTCACAAAACCGATTTCCTCCCCAGACTGGCTGCCCTGCAGCCCAGTGTCAATTTGTTTAAATGAAGATGGAGTTGGCAGGTGAAAGAGGTGGATGCCCGTAATAAGATTACATTAGTGCGAGCTGGCAAGGAGCCATGCTCTTTTTTGGAACTGATAGTGGAGAGATGAGGGAATATCACATTAGAAGACTGGAGGAGCGCCCTGATGGAAAGAGGGATCCAGATGCAGGAAGTCTGGGTTCTGGGGGGAGGCTGCCGTGGTCACTAATCAGGATATTGCTGACGTGTAGGGAAGGCCGCTCGGGGAAGATGCCCTGTTTCATCAGAAGAGCACCTTGAGAATGCCTCCTGCTGATGGTTGAACTGTAAAAAAGAATCACAAAACAAAACAAAAACATTCTTTGATTTCTTTCTTGCTCTAGAAATCAACTGATGAGCCTTCCGAAAAGGATGCTCTGCAGCCAGGCCGGAACCTGGTGGCGGCCGGCTACGCGCTGTACGGCAGTGCCACCATGCTGGTCCTTGCCATGGACTGTGGGGTCAACTGCTTCATGCTGGACCCGGTGAGAGGCCTCACAGGAGGCTGGGGGCTTGGCTGGTGTCTGCGAGCAAATGAATGCTATGCGTGGGGGGTG